GGTGGGAAAGTTCAGTAACTCGGGATTAAACAGATGCTTTTTAAACCCAAGCTAGCTTAGTTGGAGATTCAGATGGAGAAAGCTAGAACTTATTTTCCCCCCAGGCAAAAGGGTACATCATGCAGGGGTGGCATGTATATCTATATGTATGATGATCTGCATTCTGCTGTATACATAGGAAAAGCAGCAGGGCACATTATACATGAAGGACCTCTCCACATATATGTGCACATTGCAGCGTCCCCAGTGGCACGCCTATATCGAGAAGCCCCCAACATAACTATTCTAATACGCCATCCGGAACGAGGTAACATCCACATGGTTGGCCCTAACAGAGTCGCGCCCCCAGAGCGCAGCGCAGACAGTGGCGAGGTTGGGGGAATCGGGATCATTTCCCCCCGAGATCTCTGACTCCTATATCTAAACAGGGGTACTTTCGGGATCTCAGGGATAGACGGAGAACATGAGGGGAGTATAGCTTTAAGGATTGTACAGGGATGACTCAGCGAGACTTCCCATGGATCTGCTTACCATCTTTACCCAGGACATCCGGGGATTATAGGGGACGAATGAGGATTGCCTAGGAATATAGATATATATATATAGACATATATATATACATATATATATATATATACATATATATATATGTCTATATATAGATGTATGTATGTATGTATGTATGTATGTATGTATGTATGGGTCATATAGGGGGGATGCTGAATTGTTCATAGCTGCAGGTGCTGACCATTTGCTTGAAGACGTTCCGGGTTCTCAGGCACACTTCTGTCTTTGAGCCTGAATCTCAGCAGACAACGCCATTGTGACTTGCTGTTATAAGTTGTTGTTACCCTAGACCCTATAAACCCTACTTATCCTAAACCCCAAACGCTATTAACCTTAAGCCCTGAGCCTAAACCCAAAACCTAAACCCGAAACCCTGAACCCTGAACCCGAAACCCTAAACCCGAAACTTCTGAGGTTTGATCTGAGGCAGTTCAAGAGATCAACTGACGACTTTGTTGCGGCCTTCAACCGCGCGGTGCGCATCCGCACCCAGGACACTTTTTGAATTCCTGGGGGTATAGTAAGGTATAAGGGAATGTATACAGGGATTGGTTTAGGGTTAGTACAAAATGAAGGAACATATACATACATACATACCTACCTACCTGCGTACGTACGTATGTGCGTACGTACATACATACATACATACATACATACACACATACATACATACATACATACATACATACACATACATACGTGCATGCATACATACATACATACATACATACATACATACATACATACACACACATATATATGTATATATATATATATATGGGGATCAGGGTTTAGGATTTGGGTTAGTACGGAATGAGGGAATTTATATGGGGATTATATCCATTTTTCCCTGCTAACCCCCCTGTAAGCTTGTCTACCGCGCTTCCAGCTTATTCAAAGCAGGTGGTTAGGAGGGACTGTTTGGGATTGCAGGGGCTTGATTCCGAAGGAATCCCATGTGAGAGTCTATTTGCATTTGGTGCCTGACGCAGGGCGCAGGCCATCTTTCAAAGGAATCTGCCTCCTTGCAGGACCTGATTTCAACAGGCCGCCCGCTTTTCATAGGCCTGTCATCGGGCTTCGTTGGGGCCTCGGAAGGGAGAAGCATACTTTCGCATCAGCCCTTTGCCCGACATGGTCTCAGGACTCTGGCGCCATTCACGCGTCGCTTCACTATCAGTCTGTGAAGCATCACGTGGGCCTCACATGCTTGAAAGCTGTCGCGATGCTGGTGATGATTTGACCTCATCGTCGTAGCATTGACACAGCTGCCGCTACTACCGCTGCTGCATGCTGCTGCTGTTGACCTTACTGGTCTTGCTGCTGCTGCTGCTGCTGCTGCTGCTGCTTCTGCGACGCCCCTGCTACTTTACAACTGCTCCACTCCAACCACTCGAACTGCAACATCTACGCTACGGCTACCTGTAGCAACAACACCGCCACCACCGCGGGGGCTGCAACCGCCGAACCCCTACCTCCGCCGCCGCCACTGCTGTTGCTGCTACTTTTATTGTTACTCTGTTTTACTTTTATTGTGCTGCTGACTGCCAAAACCACGACAACGAGGAGGACGGAAGAGGACAACAACTGCCATCCTGCTGCTACTGCTACTCTTGCCACTAGTACATGAAACCTGTCCACCGCCAGCTGGGCGCCAGGCCTTTGCACTTCTGGGAGAGGAGGCTGGCCTTATCTCACTAGAATACTGTTATCTTGATGCTGCGCCTTGGTTTTGATGGGAGTGAAAGATCTGTAAACACATACCTGCAGATATCTGAAGATTGTCTCAGGAATGCTAGTGGTGTACAGTGGGTATCATGTTCAGGGGGTCAAATTGAACGGAGGTCCCAGCAATGCTTCGCGACCGAGCAGTGCCCGACCCCCGGTAACTTGAAGGTTTGTCAAAATCATTCAACATCTTCGTTATAGTCTTGAGTAGGTATTGCTCTCGCAATGCATACATGGTTTCCCTAAGGCCCCGCCATTTTGAGAATCTCCCACATTGCATACAGAAGCGGCACCTTAGTCTTGGTTGCATGTCCGCTTCGTTCCACGCTGAGATTTGCCCAGTCGACGTCGGAGGCTCGATGAAGATCAGCCTTCAAGTTTGCTGACAGGATTTTGCGTCACAGTTCCAAGCGGCAGCATCTGCTTGCCCAAGAATGAAGCCCTGAGTTGGGCGTCTCGATGTCATAAATGCCTTTGTCCGCTTTTCTGTGTGCTTTGTGTTTGGCTTTTGACAGGTGTCAGTGGTTGTGATGAACGAGCAGGAGTGCGCAGGGTTTAGGTTTGTTTTTGTTCTCGGCTTGCGCTGGTACGGGGCGAAGGTTTGGAGCGCCACAGGATCACCAATGGCTCAACAACACTCAGCAGCCTGCCAGGATTTCGAGCTCGAACAGCAATGGTTGTCGCTCAGGGCCGAGCCCTTCCGGTCCCCTGCGCTGATGTTTTAGGGTGTAGGGTTTAGGGTTTGCCCCCAAGAAGCTGTGTTCTCGGTACCTTAGCCACGGAGAATCAGCTGAACAATCAAACGGGAAATGAAATGGAAACTACATGAGATGGGGCGTAGAAAAGATAGAGCAGGAAATGCCCGATCATGGAGAATCAACAGGGCGAGGAAGTGGACAATTGAATTGAGACTTGGATTCTGTCGGGGCTTATAGGGTTGATAGTTTCCGGTTTACTTGTTCATCATGGATATGGGCAGGAGAGGGGATGATTTTGGAATTGCTAGAGAGAGTCAGGTACCTTGGGGTGAACGCAACTGGCCAGACCAGCGTGCTTGATGACCTTGCATCCACAGGTGGGCTTGCTGGCCATGCTTTCACAAACCAAATTTGACGAGCAACATTCTAATGTTTCCAAAAGATAGGGGCTCCCTTCTAGCGGGTCTCCATACAAAGGATTAGAGCATTTGGGGATCTACATTGGGGTCCCCCTCTTCATGGAAATTGCCATATGACAATACAATCCATATATTGCCAGGTATTCCTCTATACCAACAGAAATATACAACTATAGAGATTTCTACGTTAATTACTGTATACCACTATACAAGTTCTATGCTACGAGACATGATTATATATACTATAGTACATTATGACATACATACAGTTGTTGCTACCTATTTCTATATGTTATTCTAGAAGGCTTCAGCAATTCCTGTCAGGACTCCTAAGCCCTAAACCCTAAACCCTTAAACCCCCTGTCAGGACTCAGCTACATAGTTTCTGGCTCAGAATCGCTTTCTTTTGGGTGGCCAGCATGTGGTAAATCATCCTTTCACTCACTCCGGTCAGGTCTGGGTTTAGGGTTTAGGGTTTGGGGTTCAGGGTTTGGGGGGTAGGGTTGAAGCCCTTCACCGAAGCCTTGGCTGAAGTGCCCTTGCAACCTGCGAGTTATGAGTAGGGAAGAAACGCATGCAAAAGAAAAGGAGGCGGGAGGGTGAACCAAAATTAGGGCTACATGTTTTGGGTCCCTATAACAAGGACTATTGTATTTTGGGTCTATAATGGGTAGCCCTAATTTTGGGAAGCTACCATCTGTGGTCATCTGGGGCCTCCAGACCCGTTCCTGGATTCCCTGCCCTTAACCCGAAACGCTCAATCCTAGATTGTTGTCGTTTCTGGTTTCCCGTTCTATTCCTCCATTTCCTTTCTCCCAACCTGTATACCCCGAGTATCCATTTCATTTTCCATTGTCTGCTCCACTTTTATTCTGGCATCATTGGGCTTGTATCAGATTGTATCACCCTAAACCCTACACACTAAACCCCTAAACCCTGAACACTACTTTCCATTTCGGTGCTAAGGTGCGGCTGAGCCGTGACCGAGGGGCGCTTTGCTACCTCTCCGGATCCGGTGCGGATGCCCGCCAGCCAGGTTTGCAGGGTCTAAGGGGTTACATATAGGTATATGTGTAAAGTATATATATGTATGTGTATATATATTTGTGTTTACACGCAAATACATAGTTCTGAGGGTTATCTGGAGCGTTATAGCGATGTGTGAGGTTTTAGGGCTTTATAATGGAGAATCGACTGCAAGATGGAGTGGAAACCGGGATTGTGTAGTGGTTTACTTGGGTCTTCCCCCACCTGCACTTCGATGATAATCGATTAGGGCTATACGTAGACGCCTTAGTGTAATCCCTATTGCACCTCTTATAAACCCATTATAACACCTAAATAAATCCTATAATCCCTGTAGTTCCCATTTTATTTTTCATTATCCCAATATAGTTAATTGATGGGGGCAGGACCCCAGGTTTGCTTCGTTCGTTTAGGAAAGTAACCCAGCAAGCTACCCCCTTTATACCCCCTAAATCCACCCTACAGACCGCTAGATATCCCCACATATCCCCTACATACCTCTACATATTCCCTATGTACAGCATAGCATTTCCTGAATGCTCTTTCCCCTTGCTCTGGCCAGGAGATCCTGAGTGACTACGGATTTGCTGGAGACAAGTGGTGTCCGTCTGGGGCCAAGAGAGCTGACGTGTGACGAGATTTTTTTCGTGGATTGTCCAAATTATGGTCTTTCTGGGGTTCTCTAGGTATTAGGGGCCGTTTTGCAATGGGGGTCCATGAAGAGACCATGATTTTGACAACCTATCTTTGAGTTGAGCTCTTCCATTCTCGGGCTCCAGTAAAGAGCACTGATTTGGGAACAGACCAACAAGATCCACTGAACATTTGTATTTGTTCAGTGTGCTGACTTCAAGAGAGAGCCAACGATCACCAGAAATTTTCTGCTTGTGGCGACGAGACGCGCCCGGCCAGGCAATCGTCCTTCGGAGGGCTGCCAGCGCCTTAGTGTGTATATCTAGTCCTGCAAAACACCCAGAAGAAGGAGGGATGCGTTTTCAAGGTTCGAAGACATTCCGCTTTGTTTTCTGTTTTTCCTTGTGGCCTTCTGCTTTGACTGATGACTCTCCTTCCGTTCCGGGCCTACGCTCTCTGCTTTTTTCTTTCAGCCTTTTGCTTCCTGCTCCTTGCTCTTTGCTTCCGGCTCCTTGTTCTCAGCTCCCGCTTCTTGCTTTTTGCTTCCTGCTCTGCTTCTAGCTTCCTGCTTCTTGCTTTCCATTTTGTTGGCGTGTGTTCTCTATCCGCGCGAAATCCGCAAGTACGGAGCATATTCCGTACAATATTTACAGTTGTTGGCACGTTCTTGCTATCAGTTCTAAGAGTGTATGTGGTTGCCATATTCACAAGGCACAAGGAGTAGCAGTACTACTGCAAATAGTGCCATCATGATCATGGCCTTTGTACCTCTAGACGTCATCACTACTGTTGTTTGAAGACGGTCAGTTGTCATGTCATCATTGCTCCTATAGCGGCTACTGTTATCGCTACCGTCATTGTCAGTATTGCCATCGTTCCTTAGCTTATACCCATCAGTATCGTTCATAGTATGAGTATCACCACTAGCTACTACTACATGACTGTTGGTATAGTGTTTAGAATTGTGACCCTTAGTGCCATCGCCACTAGATAACTGCCAATACTCTACCACTGGCTCTATTGTTGTCACAACTAGTCAGGTTTTTATCGCCCATGTCGCCGCTGCCAGCACGTTAACAAGTAGTGTTCTTCTTTCTGCTGCTGCTCCTACTACTACTACTACTACTAGTACTAGTACTAGTACTAGTACTACTACTACTACTACCACCACTACTACTATTATTATTATTACTACTACTACTACTACGACTAACTGTTAATGTCATTGTTGCTGATGGTACTTGCTATTACTGTTGCTATGGCTATGCTTGCTTTCCATCCCTGCTAACAGCAACACTATCAGTCTTGTGTAAGGACGAGAAACATAAAACAGAAGACAAGGAAAGGACACAACAACTCATAAGCCCATTCTGGGGCTTCTTGTGATGGCCTATGCACCTCTGATTTGAGACCATGATGGCAGATCCCTAAGCCCTGAACCAAAAACCTTAGGAGGTCTAGGTATGGAAATTGGGATTCATCATAAACAAACGCAAAAGGCAAAGTAGCTGCTGGAGGTTTCCGGACAACCTGACAACAATCTTCCCTTGGGCAGCGTGCTGCGCCCGGGTACACTTTGCGATAACCAGTCTTGTTTCGTCTTGTGCAGATCCGCATGGTATGAACCAAGATATTTTGGGAGTAGGGAGTACATATTGGGGTAATACTGCGATAATGGGAGAGAAAATGGAAACTACTATTTAGTATATTGGTTTTCTCAGCTTTCCTTGTCTTCCTAACGGATGGAGGTTCTTCTTGTCTACCCAGAGGGACTACCTCCACAAAGAGGAGCATGTCGCTTGGGCCTCAGAGGCGGTATTTCACAAGTGCGATGACTTTGATTTGGGGAGACTATGGTACCCAATATAGAGTAAGATTATATCCCCCTTTTAGGTACAGTATTTTATATAAGGAATATAATCTGACTAGGTTCAACCACCACAAAAACACTACTCAAGTGCGATGACTTCTCCATGGTCCGGAAGTGTGCTATCTACTTACGAAGAACAGCACATGCTGGCATCGATTCTGAAAGCCTTCTGTGTGTTCCATGTTCAGGCTGGCGCCCATGGAGTGGAAGCAAGGTATCCGTTCCTTGACCCGCGCGTTGTGCAGGAGCTGCGAAATGCGGTGTCAGGTGCACGTCGGCGAAATGTTGCATGCTGTTGATAGGAATTTCTGTGGCTGGCGCCAGAAGTGAAAAACCGGGAGTACAAGGCACGTCATGTCAGCCCGCCGTGGAACTCAAAGGTCATTGTTCAATTCCGGTTGCATGGCTTGTTTGATGCTGACAGCTTGAAGAACTGTGGCACTCTTGGCTCCACAGACCAGGGATCCTAGAGTGCCCTTAGGACACCCGGGCCCTTCCTGGTGCCAAGGCTGCAGGGACGAGCGATACGGTGCTCATGACTAAAGTCATGAATAGTAGTGCCGGTAACCAAGCTAGGAACCTGAAGCATTATTTGCAGTACTATGACGTCTGAGAGATTGCTCAACTCCTGAACTTACTGGTGCCTAGTAGGGAATAATAAGGGAATACAATCCTTATATGATCCCTACAAAATATGTATTCCCTTATCCCCTACGAGCCCTAAGTAAGCGAATCAAAGGACTTTAGGAGGGACCCCTAACAGGGACCCTTGAAGCTTATGGGGCTTAATATGGGGACATCCTTGGGATATAGGTGTTATATCATGATTATATAATGGTTATATATGGCAGTGGGATTAAGGGTCCCCATTAGGGGTCTCTCCTAGAGTCCCTGGAGTGAAGCTGAGCTGAGGTGAAATGAAGCTTAGCATGGTTCGGCTGGTTGGCCTCTGCCTATTCCTGGCATGGCAGCCGGCAGAGTCCGCCAGTGTCCTTACGAAGGTGGGAGACTTTGGGTGCTGCCCCCACTGAGTGACAGTTAGATGATAACTATATAACATATATATATATATGTGTATATATCGATATATATAAATGTATATAGAGCCCCTAATACCCTACGTAGTACTCCCTAGTATAGACCGTTACTGGGTGGGGGCAGTACCCAAGGAGACTACTCGTGAATTGCCTGTGTATGGCATCTTCTATCACTGCACTGTATCACGGTATATGATGATATCAGCCAAGATGCGCTTCTTTGCTGGCTATCATGGTCATCCGCATTGTTAGCTTTGCTGTTCTTGATGTTAAGTGTTTTGTGTCTCTTCGAGTGGTTGCTCAAAGCCAGCCAAAGGTACTGTCCATGCTGAAGACAATGAAAGAAGCGGGCCAGTTGACAGCAATTTGTGCAGTGGATGTGAGCCGGTTTGGAGACACTGCGGCCTCCATCAGCCTTAGAATTCCTACAAAATCAGAAGGGAACTAAGTCAGTCGTGCTGGGACAACCAGCTGCAGAAGAACAAACACTCAACTGAGGTGAGAAGGAGAAACAGGATGAAGCAGTGCAGTATGCTTCATACAAGACCTGGTGTGAGGGAGAGACCTTGACCAAGACCAGAGAGGCTGGGTCCGGGAGTTTCTCAGGAATTTTCTGGGTCTTTCTTTTTGTTGGGGAAGCTATAGGGCGGAAGAGGGTATTTCATTATCAAGGTCTCTTTTGTCTTGAAAGGCATTCTTCAGGTGGTCTGGGAGAATCACAGTCCAAAAAACCGACAGGCAGGTATGCATGCAAGATGTCGGAGGGCGTTTATTTGTCTGTTTGGAATGCCCATCTGCTGTTTCATAGATACTCATGCATGCCATCCTTGTTGTCAATATGACCATCCCCGGGATATGTGGGGATGACAATTGAATCCTGCCCCTATGACGGATTATCAGCCCCGAACCCTATGTACATATATATATATATGTATATTTATGACTGTATATGCATATATATATATATCTACCTAGGACTGGTCATATTGAATAGTCCCTAAGCCCCTTAATGTCCTATATAGTTTTGCATGGACCCATTATAAGTAGGCGTAGTTGAAAAACAGCAGGTTGGAGAGCTTTCCGACCAAGCGGAGCTGCTTAAAGCTGAGATAGCCTCTCGCACGCACGGATGAAGGGTTTGGGGTTTAGGTTTAGGGTTTAGGGTTTCGGGTTTAGGGAGGGTTTGAGGATTCTGGTTGTAGGGTATAGGGTACAGATTAAAGGTTCAGGGCTGAGGTAGGTCAATGAAATCTCCATCACGATCATATTATGGCAGTTTCTCCAAGTAATCCCTGCCCCTGCAATCCTCACACAGTGGCTATACATTCTTGGGGGTCCAAAAAAGTGCACCTCTACTTGAGGAGCTTCCAGATGAGCCCCCGTCTCTATGATATCACGATCATCATCATCATCACCATCATCATCGCCATCTTCAACATCCTAAACCCTAGACCCTTAACCCTAAACCCCCTTTCAGTTTTCTTGTGCGTTCTCAGGGTCTTATGTATTTTTTGGGCCCTTAACCCTACACTCCTCACCTTACTAAGCCCAATACCCATAATCCCCAAACCCAACACCCTGAACAGTTGGCGAGTGGTATTTTACATGGGCAGTCGCCCCTTTAGAAGAAGATACTCCCCTTTTTTGATTATCATAGTACTGCATGAGGAGGAGGTTCAACCCCCAAAAAGTCTGAAGCCTAAGTCCTAAACCTTGAATCTGATGGTAGTTTCCATTTTCTTTTCCACTCTCCCGTATTTATCCCTGTCACCCTGGACTCTAAGCTCCAGAGCTCCAGCCCTCTAATCCCTATATCTTACCCTTTTACCATCCCTGTATAAAACCTAACTAACGCTATATACCTTGGGTTAGGCCCCCACCCACTAATAGTGGTATATTAAGGACACTAATAACTTGCAATTATCCATTGTGTTCACTATCAGTGGGCGGGGGCCCAACCTAATATATAACCTTTAAACCATGGGCCTGAGCTGGCAGCAAGGAGACTGCGGAGGCTTCGAGCGTCACCTTCAATGAGAAGCTTGAAGGCCACAGAAAAGGGTTTAGGGTTTAGGGGCCTTTATTTTGTAGACTGCATAGGGGTTATATCGGGGCTATATTTGGGATTTGGTTAGGGTTTGTGGTCGAAGGTTTGGGGTATATTAGCGCTTGAAAAGGGCGTAAGGTTCAGGGTTAATGGTTTAGGGATACTGGTTGGGGGATTAGAGGTTGCTGCGCACTCCAGAACTTCGCTTTGGTCTCATAGCTTAGTGCACCATAAATCGTTGCCTTGGCTGTGGGATCCAGATAGGGAGCAAGATCAGGAAGAGCTTCTTTTTCAATTTCTGTTGCTTATGTCCCGCATGTTACATTGAGACTCATTGAGACCTTATAGGATCCTACTGGTCCCCAATGAATGCCTGGGGACCAAGCCCTACACCCGTTTTGTAGGCTGCACCTGTTTGTGTTTTTGACATTTGCGAGCCACCCACCGATTAAGGCGAAGAATCTAATTGAGGGGTGGATATGCCAAGGGAATATCCTATGTTATCCCTAGCATCCATGTCATAAACTTAGAAAACCCTAAAACTCACCCTAAACCCTCAACCACACATCTCAATCCTTAAGCCTCAATAGAACATTGCTAAAGGGCAGGGAAAAAGCCGCATCAACAAAGGAAACTCACAAATTTCCAGAGACGGCTATATCAGCCTTATAAACCCATGTAATCCCTTATGGAATCCCTATAACCCCTGTAGTTTCCATTTTCTTCCATTATCCCTATATAGCCCCAATATATGGGAGACTAAACCCTAAACCCACCCTAAACCCTAAACCCTAAACCCACTGCTGAATCAGGCCTTGCAGCTGATGTGACCAAGTGGACCCTGGAGAGGGACAATGCCACGGCCCTCCGAAAGGAGCAGAAGGCCACCTATCAGGAGACTCACAAGGACTACCTTGAAGGATTTAGGGTTTAGGGTTTAGGGTTTAAGGTTTTAGGGTTGAGGGAGACTCACAGGGACCGGGGTGCAGGGTCTAGTGCAAAGGGTTTATGGTCCAGCTTTCTTTCTTCAACGGATTTGGGGTCCATGTCTCGTTGTAGATGCCACCAGACCCGAGAACACCCCTAATCCATGCTTGTTCGTGTCCCGGTTTGGCCCTGTAGCGTCCGGTAGCCCATCCTGATTTGGATGAGGGCGATAAGAGGCCATGTCTAGGGGGCATACATTATGAGTGATACAGAGTCATAAGAGGATGCCATCCTCTTGTAATTCTGTACCACTACAATGACAATGGAAGCATTCCTGACAAAGCAGAGTCTGACACATGCCAGTTTGAAGCAGTGTGGCAGGTTTCTGACTTCGTAGCCCTGGCCCTAAACAGCCCTTAACACTATATGTAACACTAAACTCGCAAGGACTACACTGAGTCCATCCAGGCAATCATGGGAGCCCAGAAGGTTCTCAAGGAGGAGGCTAGGAGCAATTGTCTAAACTCCTTAGAGGGGGTTATAAGTTACCTTGGGCACTATCTAGGGTTCCTATTCTAGGGCTTATTGAGGGGGATACTGGGAGTTTAGACTGTAGCTCATATCTTCTGGGCTCGTGAAGTCTTGTAGGGCTTGACAGGGATGATTCATGAAGTCACTAGCTTTTCCTATATTGTTGAGGTGTTCATCCAGTTTCCTTTTTTTAGCGTGTCTTCAGAAAGAGTTCAGCAATTTTGGGATGGAGATGGTGCAGCTACATGCTTTCAAGCCCAAACTTTAGAACGGCCTTGATCCCTGACAGCATACCCAGGTAACACCAAATCAAGAACGCAAGAGGGGGTGCTACTTCAAGCAAAATGCAGCTCAAATCTCACAGTGGTAGTTTCATATACAGGGGGATCCCAACATAGAGCCTCGAGGCTGCCAATGATACAGTAGTTTCCATTTTCTTTTCCATTCCCCATAAAATCATTATCTCCCTATAATATATCAGTCTTAAATAGCCAGATATCCACCTAAATAACCTCTATATAACACCCAAATGACATGGGAAGCAAAATCCCTGTAAAGCGACGGGAGCATTGAAAAGCGACACCCCAGAGTTGTCAGTCGAAAGCCCTGTAAAGCGATGGGAACCTTAAAAATGCGATGCCCCGAAAATCACATCATCGTAGCTTGAATATAAAACCTTGTAAAGCGATAGGAACATTGAAAATCGTCATCCCCAATTTGGCGTCCATTTCTAGATGAAAAGAGTTTTGACCGTCCCTCATATAATGTCTATATAGCCACTGAATAATTCCTAAATAGCACGTGTAACTACCCTCTATATACTTCCAATATAATCCTTATATAGCCACTAAACAACCCCTATATAACCCATCTAATCCCTATATTATATAGCCCCTAGATAACCATGTTCCTCGTCTCAGCAGCTTCCGCTGTTGCTTCGCTTGTCACACCCTGTGATAGGCCGGCTCAGCCAAGGTGCATTGCGCAGGGATGTGTGATCCCTTTATTCAGGGATCATGCAGGGTTTATATATGGAGAATATTTAGGGCTGTATACAGATGATATGTTATTTAAGGATCATACAGGGTGAATATGTTTATATAGAGCGTATATAGGGGCTATATAGAGATGATCAACGGATTATTAGGGATTATATGCGGACTCTAGAGGGGTTGTATGGGGGTTGTATACGGATTCTGTAGGGTGTTAATCAGGATACCACCCCAACAATGGAGAAGCAAAGGAAAATGTGGAAAATGAAATTTAGAAACTGTGATTATACACAGGCTTGTAGGGGTTCGGGATTTTCCAAAATAAGGGCTCTCAGATTGATTGGATGCCCTTACAATAGGATCTATAATATGTTGGGGTGTCTATTGGCCTGTAGGGAGACTGCCATATGAAAAAACTCAACCCGTACATTTGTTGAATAACTCTTCCCAACGTGTTCTAGTACACCACACCAGGGATCTTAAATATGATGACCCCCACCATACGTATCCTATTATGATGCAGTAGTTTCCCTTTTCTTTTCCGTTATCCCTATACAACCCCAATATAATCCCTACATAACCTCTAGTTAATCCCCATATAGACCAGTTATAATCCCTATAACCCCTATGGTTTCCATTTTCTTTCCCACTATCCCTATATAACACCAACCAGTATATGGGAGAATAATTTGGGTTAAGGGTGCAGATTGTAGCCTCCAGGCTCAGGATGTGGGATGAGGTTGGGCTTAAATGGGGTTGACTGTTTGCTTGTGTAAGGAAACTCCACTATGTATTACACAACCATATCATGGTGAATTGATTTAGGTTCCTTAGCAGCAGCCAAGTAAAATTTAAGAGTTCGGGGGCCAGGTTTCGGGTTCGAGGCATACGCGGTTCCATAAGCCATTCGTAATCCCAGGGTCCCTCAAAGTTTGGCGTTTGAGGAAGCAAGTTTCCATTCTATTTTCCATGATCCCAATAAAACCCCAATATAACCCTAATATTACCACAATGGGTACCTATAGTATTTTCCATTTTCTTTTCCATTATCCCTATATAGCCGCAATATAATCCCTATATAGAGGCTCTATTTAGTCCCTATTATATCACCCCATATAACCCCTACATAATCCCTATCATCCCCATAGTTTCCACTGTCTTCTCCATTATCCCTATATAACCCATTTTAGGAAGGAAGTTCTCCCCACCTGGCCTGCAGCTATTTAGGACGTGAGCATACCCCCGGACCTGGGGTCCCATTGTGCCAGAAACTGAGGTCCCTATATTGGGGATGTATAGGGATAAAGAAAAAGAAGCGGGAAACTACTGTAGGTACCCATTGGGGTGATATTAGGGTTATATTGGGGTTACATCGAGATATTGGAGTTCGTGTGTATGCGCCCGCAAGACGCGACCAGTTTTTTGGGCATCGGCCCATGCTTTCTGAGGGAGTCCAAGGGAATGCTATAGGGCACAAAGGAAATCTTGCGGGACATGCAGACAGGTAGGATATAACCCCAACATAACCCTAATATTACTCCAATGGGTACCTGTGCTAGTTTCCAGCTTCTTTTCCATTATCCCTACATAGCTCCAATATAGGAAGGGTTCATGCACCATTCAGCCCGAACCTTAGACCCCCCAAACCCAACCCCCCAGAGCTTCGAAGCCGCCAAACCTGAACCCTTCCACCCTGAAACCTCCTCCAATGCCAAATGTAGGGAGTAGAGTGGGGGATTATATAGGGATAATGGAAAAGAAAATGGAAACTACTAAATTATGATAGGGTATGTATTGGGGTTATAGCAAATCCCAGACTTGTAACCCTTTTTAGTAGTCTTTTCTCTCAAGCTCCAATCCACCAGACCCTGCACAGGGGTCCGTTGCCTGAGCCATCAAGCCTGGGGGCAAGCAGTGGGGAAACACTACAGAGATTTCAGCTTCAATGGTTGGCCATCTCATGGCCCTACACTCCTTGTAACTCAAAAGGACCTCCAAATTATTTGGGCTTCTTGATCCCTAAACCCTAAACCCTAAGCCCCGAGCCCTAAACCCGAAACCCCANNNNCCTAATCCCTAAACTCTAACCCTAAACGCAGGCGCTGGCCCTCCTGGCCACCCTTCCGCTTCCGGCCGCGGAGGCGAAGAAGGTCACTGCCTTCCTGGCCATGTCGGAGTCTCAAGTTTGGACCCATAACCACGGGAGTTTCTGAAAAAAAGGGAGCCCTTTGGGGCCCCTAGAGATGTATGGGGTCATGGGGGCACCCCAAATGCAAACCGGATTTAGAATAGAGAATAAGAGGAAGCTGGTACCCCAAAAAGGAATATTCGTACTTCTAAAGGGGGATCCCACTATCAGGATTGGAATGCATTTCGTAGCTTCTGGGTGACAAAATTTGGCTAACCCTAGACGCGAGATTCAAGAGGAATGCCAAATTTTAAAAAACAACAATGAATAGGTAATTGAGTTTTGGTAACCTGGATCCCTATAGTGAGGATCCCATGAGCATCATATGATCTGAATGTCAGCAGAGGCTTGTTTTTTTTTTTTTTTT